CCTCTCCCTCTCCCTCTCCCTCTCCCTCTCCCTCTCTCTCTCTCTCTCTCTCTCTCTCTCTCTCTCTCTCTCTCTCGCCAGATTTATAGGTAAACATTAGCCCGAGGCGAACCATGCCCCCTAAGGGGCTGGACTTATCCCTACAGTCAAGGGAGCCTGAAACTCATCTGAATAGATCTCTGGAAGCATCTTTAGAACATGTTACCTGCAGACAGGGGAGCACAAGGCTGCAGCTGTCCTTGAGTGTGGACAAACAGTGTCAGCCCAGGGAAGGAAGTCACAGTCCTAGACCTCTGCTTCCCTCCCTAACAAAACCAGTGAGGAGGGAGCGGGGAAGATAAGTCTATTCCCCGATGTGGCGATACCAGTGAGGCCATCTGCCACATCCCTGACCAGCAGGACAGATGGCATGTGTGAGTGAGCACAGGTGCTTGTGGAGGTAAGAAGAAAGCATCAGATCCCTTGGAGCTGGAATTATAGGCAGCTGTGAGCCACCTAACATGGGTGCTAGAAACTGAACCCGGGGTCTCTGAAAGAGCAGGGCCTACTCTGACCCACTGAACCAGCTCTCCAGCCCACAAGAAGTATTTTCTTGAGAATTTAAAAGCTTTATCCCTCCTTCACATAGGTTTGAATTCACATACACAAAACCCCCTTTGTCTAAAAGGCTGTTTGTTTAAATGCTTTTGTTTTATTTGTTACGGGGTCTCACTCTGTAACCCTGGCTGGCCTGGAACTCTCTGTGTAGATCAGACTGGCCTTGAACTCACAGAGATCTACCTGCCTCTGCCTCCTGGGAAGCAATCCACAAGTGAAGAAGTGAGAGAATACAAATTATTGGAAAAGGGCAGGAGGTGGGAGGGAGAAGAGCTGATGCTGACTTCGTTAGCTAGTTTGGGGACTCCAGTTCTTAAGGATGGCTGCAAACAGATATCTCATCTTTTTACTAAACTGGGGTGTCATATTGGCTGGCTTTATGTCAATTTGATACAAATTAAAGTCATCTGAGAGGAGGGAGCTTCAGTTAAAATAATCTACAATTGGACTGTAGGCAAGCCTGTAGGGTAGTTTCTTAATTGGTGATTAATAAGGGAGTGCAGCCCATTGTGGGGGTTGCCCTGGGCTGGTGGTCCTGGGTTCTATAAGAAAGGTGGCCGAGCAAGCCATGAGGAACAAGCCAGTAAGCAACAGCCTCCTCCACGGCCTCTGCATCAGCTCCTGCTGCCCAGTTCCTGCCTGCATGAGTTCCTGTCCTCAGTGCTTTTGATCATGAACTGTGATAAGGAACTGGGAGGGGAACAAGCCTGTCCTCCTCATGCTGCTTTGGTCAAGCTGCCTCACCCCTGCAGTAGTGGCCCTACCTAGGACAGGTGTCTTTAGATTGCATAGCAGGAGGCCAAAGGGGTTGTGAATACTCTAAGTATAGAAGTGAGGAGAATTACATTTTATAATTGTTGATCTGTCAAGCTTTGGAGAGAAACTTATAAATGGATTATGGACCAGATACATTTCTTATCCATTTTTGTTGCGTTTATCATCACATGTGCTCTGCATAGACAATAACATGATCTGCAAGTATAGGAAGATGATTTTCTTCTTCTCATCGTCTCATGGCCTAGCCAAGAATTTTAGCAGAATTTTAAAGACATGTGTGTATGTGTGTGTGTATTTGTGTGTGACTGGAGGGCCCAAGGGGAGTCTGGAAGAGGGTGTGATCCCCTGGAGCCAGAGGTCCAGGCAGTTGACCTAGCGTAGGTGCATATTCTGGGACCCAACAAGTGATGAGATTGATCAATATTTCTTTTTTCAACTGTGCATGTGATGGATTGTCACATCCCTTTAGTCAGCTTTATTATGAATTATTTCAGATATACAGAAAGGTACAACAGAAAAATCAACACGACTTTTTTTTTAAGTGGATGCCATGTTTCTTCATGTTAAGAAAGACGACATCTTGACCTATTAAAGTTGTCACTCCATGCACCTCCCTGTTTTTCAGTGCTCATTTGTGTATTTTTAAATAATAGCCTATTATTAACTTCCTGAAGCAAGTCCAACTGGATTATAATACTAAATACTCTACTAATGATTATGTGGTTATAATATGAACTTGGTAAAACAAACGTTGGCAGGCTATATCAGCTTTAGCTGATCTTTGAAATATAGTTACCAAAACTAACCAACCAATCAACTAAGTAAATGTCAACTCTCCTCACTCTCTGCCACTCCTTTCCCTTTTCAGGAACACCATCCACGTGTGTGTGTCTGTGTGTGTGTGTGTGTGTGTGCGCGCGCACACACACACGTGCACGTGAACATACGCGTGTGTACAACTGTGCATGTCTTCACAGAAGTCAGACATTGGCTGTGTCCTGCTCCTATTTTCTGCCTTTGAGACAGGGTTTCCCACCACCCCAATAAGGACTGGTAGCCCCTGAGTCCCAACAACTACCCCTTTACTCAGTTCTGGTGCAGTGGCATCTGTGTTCATGACCTGAGTTCTAAGTGGGTGATGAGATTAGATCTCAGGTCCTCATGCTTGTGTAGTAAGCACTCTTACCTGCTGAGCCACCATACGCCACACACACACACACACACACACACACACACACACACACAGAAGCCTTTTTTGGGGGACACAGTCCCTCACTGACCAGGGACCCGCCTCCCCAGCATTGGGTTACACACATGCACTACCACACCTAACTTTTGCCCATGGGTTCTGTGCAAAGGCAGATAGCCTACTGATTGAGCCATCTCCTGAACTCCAGTGAATTCTGATATATTTTAATGGAATATTACATGCCCTTGAAAATTCATGATGAGGAGCTGCATAAAGCAATATAAATGAGCTCAAATTACGTGAAAACAAAAGAAAACAAGATGCAATTACATGAAGAAATAGGATATTCACATAGTTTAAGGCAGGCAAAATGATATTCTCCTTTATTAAAGGGAGCATAAATTGGAGCGTGCATGTGGAATAATGTATGAAGTGTAAGTGTTTTCATGACTCTTAACTTCATTACAGCACACTCCAGGAAGGACAGAAAGGAGCAAGAGAGATGTCGCAAGTTGTGTTTGTAATGGTTTATTGTTGTTGTTTTGTTTCTGTTATTATTTTTCGAGACAGGGTTTATCTGTGTAGTCCTGGCTATCCTGGAACTCACTCTGTAGACCAGGCTGGCCTCGAACTCACAGAGATCCGCCTGCCTCTGCCTCCTGTGTGCTGGAATTGAAGGTGTGCACCACCACCGCCCAGCTTGTAATGTTTTATTTGTTAAAAAACACAGTTCTAGAGTTATTTAGTCCGAATATTAATGTTAGGGACACTAATGCCTTTTAAATTGTTCTCTATCCAGTTTTGTATCCTAAAATAGTTAATAATTTTAATTAATTAACCACCCATGTGTGCACACTTAATGCAAACGTAGAGTCAGAGGACAATCTGCAGGGTCACTTTCCTTCTTCCACTGTGTAGGTCTGGGCCCCAGGGACTGAACTTGTGTGTCAGGCTTGTCCCCAACTATTGCCTTATAACCTCCAAAGCTGTGTTTTGCTGCCACCGAGGTTGCGTTGGCCAGAGGTGGACATGTGCTCTCCCACTTACCCCTGCACAGATGATTACCCGCTTGCAGAAGGAGATTGCTGATCTGAAGGCGGAGCTGGCCATGGCCACTGGGGAGTGGAGGACCGAGGCCCTCACGGAAGAAGAGCTCCATCAGTAAGCACAGACTCACTTCTCTTTTTAACAGAGTAACAGTTGAGTTCTCCGTCCGCCTCAGAGCCTGCTTGGTCTCCTGGGAAGGTCAGAAACCTCACCAAGTGCCAGTGAAAAGAGGGGGTTCTCCATGGGAAGTAGGACAAGGCTGGGAATGGCTGTCCCAGGCCAGCGCTGTGAAGGGGCCGCAGACTGGGTGTGCCATTACATACACTGGCTGCTTGGAGCTATGGGTCTCAGGTCTGAGATGAGAAACAGCCCTTGTCTCACACTCACCTGGATTCAGGTACCAGCATCTATCATGCTAGAGCAAAGTCTCTCCTTTATAGTGCTGGCCCATACACTGCAGCTAAAAACTCCCATTTGGCACAAAAGCCAGCATTCAGGACTTTGTCTGAGTCTGGTGTTTTCACGCCAATGGGATTTGCAGCCATGTAGTACATTGTCCTTCATCTGTGTGAGCTGTGGAGGTGGCCTCTGTTTCTGTGTAAGGGTTGCTGTGATGTAGATGCTGGACAAGACTAAGATGTAGAGCTGGGCTTGGGATGTCTAGCATGCATGAAGGCCTGGGTTCCATCCCCTAACACTGTACACCTATAATACCCACACGGGGAGGTGGAGACAAGAGGATCAGAAGTAAACAATGGAGAAAGCAGTTCTCTGTGAACTGCTGAGTCTTGAGGCGGGCACAGTGTCTCAGCAGATAGCCATGCTTGCTGCCAAGTCTAATGGTCTGAGTTCAGTCCTGGACTCAGGGTGGAAAAGGAGAGGGATTCCTCCAAGTTGTTCTTTGACTTTCTTCTTCTCACTGTGGCACACCATATACAGACCACACATATCGCACACATACACACACCACACACATATCACACACATACATGTTACACACATACACACCACATACAAACCATAAACACCATTCCACACATGCCACACACACACACCACACATTACACACACACACACATGCACAGTGTGTTAAAAATAAACTGTAGAATCCCTGCCTGTGAGGACTGACTGAAGCATGGAAAGTCTTCATCAAGCTTTCTGCTGTGATAAAAACTTACTTCTCTGGGATCATGCCTCCTACATCTAGAATTTAACAACACAACAGCTCCACAGCTTCCCTGACAGCAGCACTGCATAGCATGTGTGGAATTAAAGTCAAATACACTGTCCCAAGTTAGTTATTAAGAATTTCATCTCAGGACTGGAGAACTGCATCAGCAGTTAGGAGGTTCCTAGTCCAGTCCCCAGAACCCACATGCCAGTTCACAACCATTGTGACTCCTGTTCAAGGGGGTCGGGTGCCCTCTGCTGGCCTTCAAGAGTACTGCATACATGTGGCACACATACATGCACAGAGACACATACACATAAAGCAAAAACAAACAAATAAAAAATAATAATGTTACTTCTTGAAATGACTCAAGATAACCTTGAATCCTAAGGGGATTTGGCTGAGAGTCAGGTCACTGTGCTGCCCCCTCTCCTCAAAGAAAGGATAGTGTTAGCTTGCCAAGAATCACCAGCAATTGATCCAGCCAGGAAAGTAAAACCCCGTAGGCCTGCAGCAGAGGATTCTGACATGGGGAAATGGGTGTACAGAGGATGGTATAGCCAAGATGCTCAGCCATTAGTAAGGCATCTTGGAGGTCAATAACAGTAGGAGCTGGGGTGGGGGAAAGTGTGACAGTGTGATTTAGTGGAATGTTTTTTACTATAATAATTTCTGGGAGTCAACTTTGGAAAGAAAAGTTTTGTTTTTAGCTCACAGCTTCAAAAAGATGTGTTTCTGTGCCTGGCTTGGGGGAGACCATCATGGTAGATGGCCACAAGAGAGAATAGCTGCTTAACTCATGATGGTGCCCAGCAAGGAGAGAGAGAGAGAGAGAGAGAGAGAGAGAGAGAGAGAGAGAGAGAGAGAGAGAGAGAGAGAGAGAGAGAGAGAGAGAGAGAGNAGAGAGAGAGAGAGAGAGAGAGAGAGAGAGAGAGAGAGAGAGAGAGAGAGAGAGAGAGAGAGAGAGAGAGAGAGAGAGGAGGCACAGGCCAGGGCAAGATAAAGTCCCAAGGACCTTCTCCAAGTGATCGACTTCATCCAGCTATGCCCTGCTTCTTAAAGTCCCCAGCATTTTCCGAAATAGCATTGTAAGCTCGAGACCAAGCTTTGGAAAAAGGAGCTGGAAGGGGATTCTGTATTCTTTCTATCACCAAGAACCAAGAGCTGGTCCCGCCCCACAGGTCTAGAGTGCAGGGAGCAGCCCCACAGCGTAGGTGCCCTGTTGAAGAACTGCAGCTGCTGTCTGAGACACCATCCAGGAGACAGCCCTGGCTTCCTCTCAATCCAGGCACCATCTCCCATCGGTGCCCAAATTGGCTGAACTTATCCAGAAGCCAGCTATTAAGCAAGTCAGGGAGTATGGTTGTCTCTGATTCTGAGTCAGGTAGGAAAAGAGTAGAAATTGGATCTTAGGGGACACACGACGTAAACACCAGTGATCTCCTGAGGGAGAGAGTGAAGGGAAATGAGATTGTGACAGCAGATTAAACACTGAAGGACCCCTAGATCTTACCTTGGTTTCTGTAGAACCATCAACCACGGATATGCAAATGCCAGCCTAGACAGATCCAGCATAGAGGGAAGAGGGCAGAGGGCTGGCATTCTTTTCCATGCGTAAGTAGTTCTTTCATTCATCTGCCATTTGTTACTAATCTTGTGATCACAGAGCACAACCATGGGCTCTGAAAGGAATGCAAAGACACACAAAGCCTACGGTTAGCTCTCATGGGCTCCACAGCACAGGGGTGGTGACAGACATAAGCACCAGGGATGACAGAGTATTGAAGCACCACGAGAAAGTATAAACAGGGCAGGGTGAGAATGTGGCCATAGCACAGTTGCTCAGGCTCAGAGCCTCGCCGAGCTAGGGTCAAGTCTACTGACTGTAATCTTGGGCAGTTCCCAGAAGGGTCACTGCTGTGCCATCAGGCACACTGTCTCCTTGGTGATCTTTCACCAGCAGCTAGGGACATCATGGGCTGCAATCCCTGTTTTCCTGCCAATGCAAAGAGCTTCAGAAGCACCAGTGTCCTGGTGCCTGTCCAGAATGACAATAAGAAGGACTCTTCTGGGCACACTGTTCTTCATGTTTGTGGCATTGTGTTTGCCACCATTAACCAATTACGAGTACTTCCTCACCCTAAAGGTGATAGATAAATGAGAACTTGCCTGCAGTTCATCCTTGGTATTTGGCACCATCAGCCTGGTTTTCGTCTTTCAGGCCCCTAGATATTTACTCAGAAATGGGAATCCCCTTCAGTTCTCCACCCACACTCTCCAAATAGAGCATAGAGGTCATGGTGCAGGAGACGAGACAGCGCCATAGCTCAGCTGGAATAGCCCAGCTCTTGGCAAGTCTGCTTCTCCGTCCTTCGGGTTCTCAGGCACATGGCAAGTGGCATGGCCTTCCTCCTGGGAATTCGCAGATACTGATGGATCTGGTTTTCTCTGTAGCATGTTGGGCATGTTGGGCATGCTGGGCATGTTGGGTGCCCTGCTCACATTCAGTCCCAGAACGCTTTTGAACCATTGCCCAACAATTCCTTGGTGAATGTAAATATTTGTTGGATTGACTTGGATGCTTTGATTGAAGAGGGTCTCAAACATCAGCCTCCAGTTAGTATGATATTTTTAGTTTACATCTTTTTTTTTTCGGTCTTTGCTAAATTTGAAAAGAGACAGCTGGACAGAGGCTGTATAGCCAAGTCAGTGTTTAGACAGAGCTCCCTGGTGCCGACTTGGATGTGACGGAGCTGCTGAGCACATATCTTTGATAGAAGAATGAGCTAGAGATCTCTGGCTCTGCTGGGCGTGTCATATCCTGGCCCATGATTTTGAGCAGCACTTCACTCCTGGAATGAAACCTAATTGGATCTTACCAGATCAAGTTTGCTCAAAAAGTCTAGATCTTTCCCTAACAGAAAAAAAAATGCAGATTAGTTAATATTTCTGCCAAGTTTATGGAGAACATCTTAGATGTTAATCATTTTAATGGGTACATCAAGGAGCTAGTAGAACAAGATCCAATGATAGTTGTGGGGAATATAATTTTACTGGGGAAGTGTTGCACATGTATGCACACATGCATATGCGTACGTGCACCTACACAGTAATGCATGTGCACACAGGAAGCAAGGCAATCATGGAAACGATCCATGTTCACTGAGACTTTTTACACATACCTACTGGGGGTTGGGGCGTGCGCACATCGCAGTTTGCATGTGGTGGCCAGAGGACAGTGTGTGGGACTCAGTCCTCTCTTCCACCATGTATCACAGTGAATTAGAATTTGCCCCTAATATGACTCTGTGTTTAACATCTTCTGCCTTCTATTTTTCTTACAGGCCCCTAGATATTTACTCAGAAATGGGAACCCCCTTCAGTTCTCTGCAAGCCTCCACACTCTCTAAATGGAGGTGGGGTCTGGTGCAGGAGACAAGCTGGAATAGCCCAGCTCTTGTCAAGTCTGCTTCTTTGTCCATCACCATATAGCCAAAGATGGGCCTTGAACTTCTGATCCTCCTGCCTCTCTTTTCCAAGTCCTGGGATTCAGCAGGAACACTGAGCCTGGATAACTTTTTCTTTCCATTCCTCTTTCTATTTGACACTTTTAGCTGGGCACTGGGGACAGAACTCAGAAAAGAGACATAAAATATTTCATGTATAGAGACTTCAAATAAAAAAGAAATGAGGAACAAAAATATAAACAAGAGTTGCCATTTCGTAGGGTTCCCGAAAAGAATTTGCATGGTAGGTTCATGTTATTTTAAGACCACTCTTCCATAGGAAAGGGCAGATGTTAGCTGTCATTAGGAACAGAATGGTGTTTGGGTAAGACTTGAGTGATGGCAATGAAGATGGAGAGGAGACAAACCAGAGACCGTGTGGAGGAAGGTTCAGTAGAAGGGTCTGTTGGAAGTGCCACAACACAAGGAAGATTGCA